AGGGAGGATGATTCAACCACTCAACCACTAGATGTCGCTGAAAACAACAAATCCTACACACTGTTACTTTGTTTAAGTTGAGACTTGTGTAACATTTATCATTGTGTCATTTTTTATTACATATGTTTATGAAGGAAGAAAACACAATATTAGTGTCAAGAATCAACCCCCCCAAAAATCAGCAGCAAATACCGGGGATCGGTTAAAATAATATCAAATAATCTGTTTCGGCATTGTCCTTAAGAAATCTGTATCAGTCGATCTCTAGTAATGATCAGATGACCGTGGCTATTTGAAAATACAGCCATCTTTACAACTGTTCCAGCAAAACTTATGAAGATAGTCAAAAAGGATATAGCACTAGTTCAGTGCGTAGAGGAAACAGCGTGGAGACACAGGCGGCTCTCTCTGGCTCTACTGACAGGGAGGGATGGAAGCTTAAGGGACATGTTCTTTGTATTGACTTGTTATTATGCATCATCTGTCAAAAACATGACAGTTTCTTTGTGACAAAATTGCAAAAACCAAACTGCGTTTTATTGTCTCTGTATAACGAAAATGTCTGGTTGCAGTTAGTGAAGCTAAAATCTGAACATGGATGAGGGAACTCTTCCCAGGAGTTCTGTCTGGCAGTTTCTCATTGAGTATAAAACATACATGTCGAAAAGCTTTAGTTAGAGATGCACCAATATAAAAATTTCAGCCAATATTATATTAATATTGCTGTTATGGCCAATAATTGATATTTACCGATATTATACAAACACACAAAATATTTATATATATATACACCCACAAACACTCGTGTCTTTTTACGATACCATACAAAAATGATCAGATCGCTGACACAGCTTTCTGCTTCAGTTATTTCTGGCTGCACAGCATCACTGTCATGATCCAACAGATATCGCTCGACCGAGCATCTCCCCTCCTGAAACAGAAACACAAACAACAGCAAGCAGGAAATCAAAATCGGACGATAATTTCGGTCCAGTTTTACTTATCAGACCGATACAGTGTTAATGCTGATATATCATGCACTCTAGTTTTAGTTGTAGTTGTGCCATCAGTTTAAAGCTTTTTTCGGTTTTATTGAGGAGAAAGCTTTCCTCTGTTTCATTGGGACAATTTACGGTTTTCTATTGTTAAATTGATCATATTTATTGCATTTTTCACAAAATCTCAAACAGGCCATTAAAAATGCACAACAGAAGTCTAGTTTTCTCCTTCATTCATGATTAATTATCAATAGTTAATAAATATTAAATCACCTTTGTTAATGTGCAACTGTAAATCCATTTTATTCATGATTTTTAGTTCAACCTCTATCACACAAGTTTAGAAAAAAATACGTCAAAAGTGAGAATTATTGTCTCAGTACACAGTAAAAAAAATAGAAAAAATAAATACAAAACATTCCCACACTAAAACAATAATGAAAATCTGACAAAATGAGTGCGAAAATCCAGCTGTTGCTCTAAAGCTCAGGTGTGTGCAGGGAAACGAGTACAGGGTTCCCACGGATCCTTAAAAAGTCTTAAATGGCATTGAATTCATTAGTCTAAAAATACAGACCTTAATCTTTCAGAGGTCTTAAAAATGTTAACACATTTTAAGTAGGATGATTGTAATTCATCTTATGTTAAAATATTGGTAACATTTGGGTAAAATTGTTGCTAATGTTTTTTTCCATTTGTGTTTATTGTGAAGTTGGTCTTAAATTTCATTTCAAGTGGCATTAATGAGGTCTTAAAAAGTCTTAAATTTAACTTACCTTAAACTGCAGGAACCCTAGTAAAACATGCAGCATAGCCAGAGTTGCACATA